ATGCAAAAATGCAAGAATGCAAGAATGCATGAAATGTTCGAGGCATTGATCCAAGAAATGTGACTGTTATTATGAATAATCCTTATTGGGGACAAAAATGTTTTATCTTTTAAGAGAAAAAAATATCCTGACAGCTTCTGACATGTTGACTAGTCTTCTGCTTTCGTCTTTCACCGGTTGAATAACCTGTCGAACCGCTCCGGCCTCTCTGGATGAACCGTGAAAATATTGAGTTGTTTTTTGTACTGGTCCAAGAAGTCTCGAATGATCGCATCTCGAGCATTTACTTTTGTTGAGCCTGTTCCCAACGAATTCATCATTGGAGCCCTTAATTGATAGGAACTATGTGAAGTTCATTAATATGTTTCTTGAATTCGCCGGCAATGGTCTTCAATTTCAGCTATCATTTTGCCATTGTTGTGTTCAAAGGGACTTCCGAGATACATAACCTTCATCTTGCCCCTGCAACCTCTGCCAGTCAGTTCTTCAAAGATAAGCTTTCATTGTGCTTGATGTAGACCCGGTTCATTTTGGGTCTTTTATAATGCAGTAGAGTGATATACTCTTCAATTGTGGGCACCACGTCTTCTGGATTGAATGTGACACATAGTCGCCTTGTAGACTATCCTCTGTATTTTCATCTCTTGTATTACAACACCTTTGTCCATGGATTCAGATTATTCGAGTTTTAACAAACACGTTTTAGTGGATCAATGACCTCTTTTGAATGATGCAAGTGATGAAAATAAAATAAAATAAAATAAAATAAAGATGAAAAGAGTTAGTGAGGTGAAAAATAATCAAAAACGATCATAAAAATGAAAGTCCTACCCCACATGCTTATTATTCCTACCCGAACATGATCTCTATCCCGCAAGTTGATTTTGAACAAGTTCTAACCGCATAGTTATCTAGTTCGCATGCTTTGAACAGAAAGTAAAGCATGAAATAATTCTGGCATCCTAAGGTTTGAAATGAGGTTTTGGGGTAGGCTCTAATTCTTCAAAGTCTCCCGGTTTAGGTGCTAAAAAATGGTACCCGAGTTCTCCTTGCTGGTGCCCCCTTGGGCTTGCCAGACCCTTAGTCCTAAACCCATCACAGGCTCATGTGGACTAAGTTAAACTCGAGAGGACACATTCCCTTATGTCTATGCGGAGAATAAATTCACACGAAGACATAAGGTATATGAATCCCGAAGGCTACTTGCTAGGCATATGCGGTGAATAAATTCACACGAATGCGTCGCTTTCACCCCCACTTAAAACGGGTTTGGAGCTCGGGTTTAGAGCCTTAGATGAAAAAAGACTTTAAGGGCTGAAATCATTGAGAAAACGGTTAGTACAACTATTTACGTGAAAAAATATAATCAAAAGTAAGCAATAAGGATCGAAATGTTACCTTAAAATTTAAACTTACCCTTTTCGTTGAAAAGACAACTGAAAATTACCTTAGCCTGACTCACTTGAAAGTCCCCAGCGGAGTCGCCAAGCTGTCGTAACCGTCTTTCGGTTGGGCCCCGAAATTGGGATTCGACTTGAAAAATGTGGATTGGAGTCGCCACCGATCATTTATTTAAAGATAAATGGGTTGATCGGATACCCTATTTCTTACCTGATCTGCGTCTTACCAGAAATATGTCGGGCTCGGGAGTCGGTTACGGTCAAGGAAGGATTAGCACCCTTGAACCGCCCTTTCGGTACTACGTAATTTCCAGTTGTCTTAATTAAGAAAAATAACAAGTTAAATTAAAAGATAAAATAATGATCCAAAATTACTTACCTTTGACGGATTTACAAATATACCCTTTAAAAGTCAAAATATGGGTTAGAAGAGATGAATAAATGATAAATAAAGTAAAACAAATAAAATAAGGAGATTAAGAAAGAAATAAAGTAAATATAAAATGAATAGAATATATAAAATAAAAAAACAATAACACTAATATATGCATAGCAAACAACTAAATAAAAATAAAATGATAATGCAAATAAATAAATAAAACAAGTAAAAGAATATAAAAACATAAAATATAGGATAAATATAAAAATAGATAAATAAATGAGTAAAATATATAAAAAAGTAAAAGCATATATAAAATGAATAGAATATATAAAATAAAAAAACAATAACACTAATATATGCATAGCAAACAACTAAATAAAAATAAAATGATAATGCAAATAAATAAATAAAACAAGTAAAAGAATATAAAAACATAAAATATAGGATAAATATAAAAATAGATAAATAAATGAGTAAAATATATAAAAAGTAAAAGCATATATATAAGTAAAATAATAATAATAAAAAAAGAAAATCAAAAGTAATATACATATATATACATGCAAAATAGGAAATATATAAATATATATATAATAACACTAATAAAAAACATATATACATATATAATAAAATTAATAGAAAGTAATATGCATATATAACAAGAATAATAAAGTAGGAAAAAAATGATTTAGGGGGGAGAATTAAATATTTTAAAAAATGAACACGCCTCGGGGGTGGATCTAGGTTCGAAACTTCGAAATCCCACCCCTTTTTAGTCATCGGCGCAACCCACGTTTTGGGTTATTCGAACCAAATCTCAAGAAAAATAACGTGCACATGCGAGAAATGAACGAACCAATGTAAAAAAAGATGCTACCTTTTATTTCCTTTTCGAATCGTTTACAACAACTTTGCCTTTGTATTTTCCGTGCTTTCCTCTGTGTTTTGTGTGTAAAATCGTGTCTTCAAATGGTGAGTTACAATGGCTATTTATAGTGCTTGTGGATCCTATCTTTAGGAATTTAAACAATAGTAGAACTCTATCCTATTTTTAGGAGTTTGAATCCTAGCAAAATTTTATCCTATTTTTAGGAGTTTGAATCCTAAAATTCTATCATATTTTTAGGAGTTTGAATCCTAGTATGACGAAAAATGTGTGTTGACAACATTAAAGGGTTGGATTACCATCGATTGACAAAATTATTATATATGTAATAGGATAAAAATAGAAAGTAAATTAGGGTTTAAAATATCTCTGCCATTCTCTCAATAATTTTAATTGTATAAGTTAGTAATACAACGAAATAAATTCATCAAAATTTATTCCAATAATCTAATCCATAAGAATTTTTTTTACTAATTTAGTCAACCATAAATAAAATAGGTAATTAAAACACTTTTATAATCTTAGTGTTCGAACCTAAGACTTTTTAAGGATAACGATCATTTATTTAATCACTGAAGTAATTTAATATGTATACCAATTAATTAATTTTAAGATTAAACTGGATTTCCCAACCACGTTCATCTTTAGAATATAAATTAATCCATATATTACATAGGTTAACGTATAAGGATCACACAAGTTAACTAAATTTTAATCATATTTCAATTATTTAGTTATTAACATATAAGTTCCTTAACCATTTAGATCAATTAACCCACAACATATCGGTATTTGCGTTAATGAGATATATTACTTAGGGTAAACTAGATTGGTAATATCTAAACTTTTAGGTTGCTTTCCTTTTGGTCATCGACCTTTTAAAACTTGCATTATAAGTATTAATATTTTAATTCATCTTCATTGTGATTATTTATTGTTGACTTCTATTCATAAATGTTAATGTGACATGTTAAACTATTTTTCTTTAAAAAACTCATAATTTTATAAATTAACAGTCACCACAAAGATCAAAATTTTGACGAACAGAGTGATGTTTAATCAATCTCAATAGTTGGAAGGTTTTGTTTGATTAGAAGATTAATATAATTTGGTTTCAAGTTGATTCAACATTTGATTAGAAGATCTTTCGACGAGTTTAAAAAAAAAAACTAAAGAATATGAGTAGTTCAATAGTCTTTATGATGGGATAAACCACCTTATTATGATAGAAACAAAGACAAAAGCATGTTATTGTTCAATCAAAATTAAAAGTTAAAGCTTTTCGATATGCTACTGTTAACGGTCAGATCAACTTAAAATCTATATATGTTAATCTTATGTCTAAACAAAATCTTCCTATCATAGAGATTGATCGACAATTGCACTGTTCATGAAAATTCGACCTTTATGACGATTGTCAATTTGCAAAATTATGATTTTTTTAGAGGAAGAAGGCTTTAACATACCACATCAACATTTCATAACGTTAGTTGACGATAATAATAATGAAAGTGAATTAAAAGTTTAGTAATTTTAATATATGTTTTAAAAATTTAGTGAGCAAATTAGGTTGATAGTGTCGCACTTATAATTAATCTTTGCAAAATTCAATTCAAATTAGTTGATCAATAAATTAAATACTAATGGTGAAATAAAGAAAGTACTATTTTATTTAATATGTCGGGTTGAAGGGGGGAATTCGGTCCAATTGAGAAATTACAAACGGTGAGCTTGTCGTAAAAAAATGATTGAAGGGGCAGGAGAAATCTGAGGTTCATCGCTGTTGCTCCACCTTCAGTAGTCAATTCGTAATAGCTGCAACTTGAAGCCATGGATCATGTTGAATTGGTAATCAAATATATGGTCCACTAATTCAACTTACAAAAACAGGTCTGAGTTTGGACATATCAGCTTTAAGCAATTTAAGTACAAGTGTTTCCGAAGCTGGCATGCATGGAGACTGCTGTCTTCTCTTTATGGAACCATTGGTTGGGTATTTAGGGACCATTTTCTTCTTTTCCTTTTGACTCCCCCAAATCATGCATCCTATTTTCATCAACACTGCAATGCTATCGGCAACCTCCATGGAATAAATGATAAATTTTTCTCTATTACCAAGCATAAGTGGGTGGGGAGATGCCTACATAATTACTCATCCTTCTACATTTCACATTTCTCCCTTTCAAATTTGGAGCTATGACTAATGAGTGGAGAAAGGTTTTTTTTTTTTTAATAATATGATATAATTACATAGTCTTGTTAATAATATTTCACCCGGCATTTATTTAAAAACAACAATTGTATTTGGAAAAATTAATTTTATCTGACATATTGAAACTCAACACAATATATATTCGAAAGTAGCAACTGCACCAAATATAAATGTTTCATAAAAAGAAAAATAAACCGAAAATCTTTCTCCTGTACATGCTCGTGCATCAACTACAGAGCTTGGAACATAGATGTTGAACTTGTGAAGAGTTTTCCTCTGTTAATGTATAGATTTCGCTTTTCCCATTGCTTATGCATGTCAAGTTCATCGACTTCCCGAATACGGTTGACTGCAACAACAATCAACGAATAACATTAACCCATTTTCATTTTAATGAACACAAATTTAGAAACTAAACTATTACTAATGCAACTGACCCGACAATACACGTGTCGTTGTCTGCAACTCCACAATGGTGTCGGGATACAGCTCATGTAATGACACCAAGAACAGCGATCATTCAAGTTACCCCCCTTAAGTAGCAGATCATACAACCCGAGAGCAAATCTGGAAAAAGTAAAATGGAAACATGCATTAATGCGTGGGGATAGCCTATTTTGATCAAGAAGATGAGTGATGTTTAGAATTCCTTACACAGCAATGAGTAGGCTCAAAGAGACGACCCACAGGACATACTGGTACGTCTTGTGTTTAGGTTTACGAGAAGGTAGAATGTATCCAGGGGGAACCTTTTTTTCACTAACGTATCTAAACTGGGGGTGGATTAGAAACACGAAACCCAGGAGAAACCCTGAGATAAATCCCCCGATATGAGCAAAGTTATCCACGTGTGGGAGCACTCCCATTGCTAGATTTATTACGATAACCAGAACAAGAGTTAACAGCGCTGCAAACTGCACAAATCACAAAACTGTAAAACTGTTCTGGCAAATGCAAACAGACTAGGAAGAATGCAATCTTACGTGCCTTATTTGCATATATTGTCCAGTTTGTGATCAGTTCCGAGAGCATGCTTCCTAGTAAACCAAAGAGTGCACCAGATGCACCGACCGATATACGTTTCTGAATAAAAAGAGATGACATCAAACTTCCACCGAAACCGGCGATTAGATAAACCGACCCGATTCTCACTGCAGTAAATACCAAATACGCATTAGAACTGATCAGATTTCAAGCTATTGTTGTAATCATAATGATAATCATCAATGCGTACCGAAACCGAATTCCTGCTCAAGCCGAATCCCAATGAATAAAAGACTCAACATGTTTGCGAGTATGTGGAAAACACCAGCATGCAACCATATACAAGATATCATGCGCCATGCTTCGTGCTTTTTGACTACTTTATCCACTTCGAGGGCACCCATTTTCTCTAATCTGAAGAGTCGACAAACAAATCATCAGGCCAAGTTGCAGCCATGAAGGAAGATAGTTGGGAGAGAGAGACTTACGTACGAGCAGAAGGGCCGAGGAGGGGATTCTCTTCGAAAGGTTGAAAAGAGAATCTACCCAGGAATTTACCCACGCAATTCTTGGAGGTCTTGGGACAATTATTAATGTACATGGTTATTATAAAAAGGAATATGTTAACCAAAACAGAGCCTGGAATCAACCAAGGCACCCACTTTTTAAACGGCATGAAATCCACCGTCCATCCTGCTTGCTGTTGTCCTTCCCTCTGTCTATGCTCATTTCCATGCCCCCTACGCTGCCCATCGGGAGACAGCAATGACGATGTTTGTGATGTGGTGTGACCTGATGGCACCGGATGCTCCGCCGTGTCTCCTTTCTTTGGATTGGTCACATTGATCCAATCTTGGAATCCATCCCCGTCTTCGAAACAACCTTCTTTCAGAGTTTTTAGCTAGGGATTAACCAATGCAAGAAAAGAAAAAACACGGGGACTCTCATATGGGAATGTAAATGAATTTCCATACAAAAAAAAAGGCTTGGTTTTCTGAATTCTGATACTGCAAGGATTCTCTCGTGTTTCAGAGTTCAGACAAACCTTCCTTCTAGTTCTTTTCTATGCGGATGCTTATCCCGATTTTATTTTCCGCTTGTTTCGGAAGAATACAGCTTGTTAGGGGTGATAGGCTTATTATAATCTCTAGTTTCCATTTGATTTCTTTTGCTTGAATGCCATTCTCACTTAATGTATAACAGACATTGTTATATAACAATTTGTTTGTTCCAACAACAATTAAGAGATCAAATTCAAACCAAAAAATTTGCACAGTGAAGTGGAATAGATAGTAGAATATAGTAAAAGTTAATTTTAGGAAAATGAGAGGAATATATGCAAGCTTTACATGGAGAAAGAAACACGTGTATACATCTGTCATGTAATATGCAAATCTTATGTTGGTAATAATAGTAAATAAGTATATTGCAAATCTTGATCTGTTTTTTTTGTGGATTTTAATACTGTATTTAACTATTTGCAACAGATTTAGATTATATATTTTTTAAATTATATATACTTTAGATTAATTCTAAATTACTCTAATCACGCCTCACTCTTATAGATTCTGTGATTAAATTTAGATCATCGAAAGAAATAATGATATTGGATAGTTCAGGTTTATCAGTAATTGTCTTTTTCATAGATTAATGATGTATGATCATCATAGGGTATGTGTTATGTATCATGTCAATCGGTTACATATCTACTTAGTGATGTGATTGGATAGTTCAGATTTATTAGTACTTGTCTCATTTAGTGATTGTCAGGCTACTGAATTATAGAAGAGAGTGTAGATACTAGTCGTGTTAGTAAAAGATATTGTTACAAAACAACATATTAGCAAAACAAATCACATTAAATAAGATAATGAAAAAATTTATTATGTCGTATAATCAACTACTTTAAAAATAATTTTGTACGGATTAATATAATCGAAAAAGTTGATGTTATCCTCCAATTTTAACACAATCTTCCGAATGATATATTTGAAGAAATGGTGGAAAAGAAGAAATAGAGAAAATAGAAAAAAAGAGAATGATAGATTTTGTCCGGTTCTACTATCAGTCCAAAACAAGGCCCAAACTCGATCAAATCTTCAAAAAACACTGCTCTCCAACCATTAAACAAGTGTTAGTAATCCAATGGTTTAGGGTGTATTTGGTTAAGATTATCTCTTAGAATAAAATTCTGGGAATGCAATGATATATTATTGTGAAGTTGTCAAAACCACACAAACCTGACATTGATGTGGTATCAACCAGAAAAATTGCTGGAAATGGATTATTTGAAGCAAAGAGAAAACAGTGTTTCAATTAGCAAGTATCACAAACTGCTACATTTGTGGGACACTCATGACGTAACACTGAAATCAAACATGTATAAACCATTAACAGAAAATATCTTCACGATTTGAAATATCAAAATGTCAAAAGCAATACCTGCCGGAGTTTCTCTAGTAAGAACGTTTCTAATTGTTTTCTGGGAATAATGAATGCTTCCTCGTCTAGCAGAATCAAGTCCTTGAAATGTGGTTTAGAGGCACCGGGGCAGCCAGTTGATGATACAAAGCATATCAAAAGTGTGCCAAGCTGTATACAAGAACCCAAGCCAACTGAACAGGAAAAAAAAAATTAACAGTCAACATGGGAAAAGCTCCATTTTCAAATATTCTGCAATGTTGGCATTTGAAAATGAAAGGAATAATTAAAAGTTGTTTAAGTACCAAAAAGAGAGTTATTGAAGCAAAAAGCCCTTCTTGAAGAAGAGCTGCATGACCACCAAAATCTTCTTCGTCAACCTTTAGTATCATAACATAATAACCATATATGATCGCAGTGGATATGGCCAGAAAACTGCAGAAAACAAATATCAACATCAAATGATGAACAACAAGTTTCTCAAAGATTTGTAATGAAAGAGTTAAGAAATACGACAATTATTTGCTTATTGAATGAATTCCTCAAAACAATGGCTGGATATCAAGACACACAAAAGAGAGAAAGTTGGCACAATAAATCCCTCAACATGGATAGCCAGGAAAACTTGAAAAATGAAACGCTGGTTTGAAGATATTGGCACCACCAAGAACACCAAAGGCATTCATCCTTTCACAGGAATGGGACGGTGATATACACATTTCATGCTCAACAAATGCAACTAGAAATCTTATGGATTTAACTTGTCAATTCCAAAACACCAGTACTATGTAGTATACTCAAAATCATCTATAGAACCTAGAAAATTGCATTCAAAGAACCAGAGGCATGCACATGAATATATAAATATGCAGCCTAACTCTACAGATTAAAGGTAAAGTCCATGTAGCAAAATGGCTCACATGTTTGTAGATTAAATGTGGTTCCAGAAACCCAACAATTATCTAAGTACCACCACACACTCCGGTATAATTCTTGTGCATGAATTCATAATGCCATAATCCTAGGCTAAGAAAATGCCGGAATTCAATTCTGTACGCACAACGGATTGCTAAGAATTATGGGTGACTAACAGTCAGCCAGTCTATGATTTTATCAAACTTGATCACCTTATGTCAAAACCACAGTTCTATACAGTTACAGCAGTGTAAATTGTAAAAGCACTTACTATTTACAACTAGCACAAAGACATATTCATACAGCTCAGGTCACACTGGCATCTAAAAGCATGTGAGTCGCCAAACTTGGAAAAGATTCAAGAATCCAATATGAATCTGAAACAAACTGCAATTTGCAAAAACATGCAACACGTATATGAGAACTTACATGAAGATCCAAGTGCCTCCAACCACAGGGATTGCCCCCCATAATAACCCAAAAAAAGCGCTAAAACTTGTCGAATCCAATGCAATACATCTCCTAATTGATCCTGCCCCAAAATTCAACCAAAACCCATCATCAAATTTCCTTTATGAAAAATACCCAATTCAGTTACATTCATGATCATTTTAGACCCCATTTAACATGGGGGGAACCCATTAATCAAACTACTTCTAGAACTGAATAAGTTCAATAAAGATCATCATTTTTGGGAAAATAACTACAATAACGGTTACTATTTCCCTGTAATCAATAATAGAACTTTCAAATAAAAATAACATTAATGGGAAAAAAGATAGAAGACTTATTTTGTCCCTAGAAGCTTCCGGATCTAATAACTTGGCGAATTTGAAAGGAGAAAAGTGGTCATTCTCGTGTTGCTGATGCTGCTGTTCATTCAATTTAACTGATTTCGTTTCTTTCATAGTAAATTTTGATTGAATTTTCGAAAGATTTAATTCAAAGTAACGAAAAAAAGATATAACTTTGATCAGATGCTATAGTTTGGTAAGGGTTTTGAAGGGGAAGAACATCAAAGATTGATCAAAATGCTTTGATTTAGATCGAAAGGTATTGGAATATCCGAAGAAGACGAAGAAAAAGATGATTTATTTTGGTATTTTCGAAGTGTATTTTTTCTCTCTCTTTGAAGTAGTATTTTATTATTACTTGTTTCAGGGCACTGCACGTGATGTGATGCAATTACTGATATTTTATTTATAATTGCCTTTTATTTTGGTAATTTATAAATTTGAGAAAATAATCTCAGTGACAAAAAATGCCTTATAATATACGATTTTAACCAATTTTTTTTGGATTTACCAAAATGATCAACTAAATCGCAATGCGATCGATAATTCGCAACGCGATCTCCGGTATCGCAAATCAGTTTCTAAATTCGCAACGCGATTCTGACTACGATTTTTCAAATTCGCGTTACGATTTTCTAAATTCGCGTTGCGATTTTCCTAATTCGCAATGTGAATACGTAAATCGCAATGCGAATACGTAAATCGCAATGCGAATACGTAAATCGCAATGCGAATACGTAAATCGCAACGCGAATCTGACTATCGCTACGAGATTCTGATTATCGCAACGAGATTCTGACTATCGCAATACTGAATTTCAAATTCGCAATTCGATTTCTGAATTCGCAACAGGTTTTAGTTTCGCAACACAAATGTTTTGGGTATATAACTACGCAGCAGCAGCAACTCATAACCTAAATCCCTAAATCGAAACTCATTCCATCTCCATCTATCACTCTCTCCAGCGACATCCGTTCCTATATCCAACGACATCCTTCCCCATCCGGCAATATGTTTTAGTTTCGCAGCTCGTTTGTTTAGTAAATTAATTTACAATAATGAAATCATCTAATGTTGATCATGTTTGGATAGATTTGTGTTTTGGAGGGTCATGGGAGAATGTTCATGGTGTTTTACAATATATGCCTTTACCCATGAATCTTCAACTAAAACTTTCATTAAAAAAATTAACTTATGAAACTCTAATGTTACGTGTTGCAAATAAATTGAATTTAGAGCCCTTAAGTGGATTTAGGATATCTTATCAGAGAAAAGGTAAAGTTTATTTGTTAACCGACAATGAAGATGTTGAACGATTCATTGCTTACATTAGTGTTTCGCAAGATGATGATATATTGTATTTTGTTGAACCTAGAAGTAGTGAAGTTGGGTCAGTAGCGAGTAGTAATCAACTAAGTTTTTCAACTCCAGATTATGATGCTCAAAATTTAATGGTTCCACCACAATTTCATCACCAAGCAAATTTTGTTTCACCACATTTCCAATACCAAACACAATCTCAAAACCCACAACCTTTCCCTAATCCAAATCCCAATCAACTTTCAGCACCAAATTCCGGTTTTTGTATTAACCAGTTAGACGATGATGAGCTAACAGAAAAAATTGTGAGTACTAGTCGGTAGTCGAAATTTGATCTTGGTCAATACCCGGACTTTGATCTTGGTCAATACTGAGATTTTGATGATGTTTCAGAAGAATAAATAGACCCTACGTGTAATGATTTTGATATTGGTCAATACCCGAATTTTGATGATGAAACAACCGCTGTCGAGGAAGATGTTGTTGATGATAATGAGGAGGAAGTTACGACTGTGAATGAACATGTTGAACATCCATTCTGTAATTCATATAACCCTAAAGAAGAAAAAGAAGAAGAAGAAATCCCCGAAGAAAAGTCCCTGAAGAAAATGCCACGGGAGTATAACTGGAATATGCCAGAATTACTTCAGATACCGGAAGAAGAGTTGGTAAAAATAGCAGTTGATTGTTACACAAATATTTTTCGTATCAAGAAAGATGATTGTTTTGATACAAAGGAAGACTTGAAGATAGCTTTGTATACGAAATGTGTGGAAGATGGCTATCAACTAAAAGTTAACAAATCAAGCAAATATCGTTTCGAAACAAGGTGTATGATTGACAAAAACTGTACGTGGCGTATGATTGCAAAGAGGATAAAAGATTGCGAAATGTTTCAAGTTAGGACTTTTATTGATAAACATACATGTTCAAGAACCCAAGTTTTTCCTCACCATAGACAGGCAAAAAAAAAGGTGTTGGGTGGTTTTCTGGCTGAGTTAATGTTTTTGAATGGCAGGGTATATCGGGGACATGAAATTATGACTGATATGAATGCTCGGTTCAAGATTAGTATCTCATATTCTCAAGCTTGGAGAGCCAAATGTTATGCCTTGGAATTGTTGAGGGGGTCGCCAAAAGCATCGTTTGCCCAACTGTCGGCTTATTATCACAATTTAAAGCTGAAAAATCATGGGTCGGTAACTCATATCAAAACAGATAGAGATGGACGCTTTGAGTTGCTGTTTATCGCCATTGGTGCTGCGGTTAGTAAATCAATATAATTTTGTTGACTCATTTTTGTTAGTTACGTGCATTTCAGATTTAAATGATTATATTTCTTGTGTATATGATTTTGTAGATTCGTTCGTTTATTACTTGCATGCACCCAGTTATTATAGTTGACGGAGCACATTTAAAAGGTCGATACCTTGGAGTAAACTTATTAGCAGTAGCCATAGATGCTAACAATGGGATACTGCCAATAGCTTACGGGGTTGGCAAATCTGAAACCTTTGATTCATGGACATGGTTTATGGGGCATCTTAGGGATTGCATAGATCCAATTAGCAATCTGACAATCATATCCGATAGGGCAAACTCAATTGACAACGCTGTTAGAAGGTGTTTCCCAGATGCTTTTCATGGACTTTGAGGTGTTCATTTGTATAGAAATCTAAAATCAAGGTCTGCTGGTATAAAAAATCATAAATGGACATACTGGAAGGCTGTAAAAGCTTATCGGGAAGTGGATTTTAATAAGCATATAAACTGTTTAAGACGTGTTTTGCCTCAATGTGCTCAAACACTAGAAGATGTCGGGTTTGAAAAATAGTCAAGAGTACATTAACTTGGAGCAAGATATGGTTTCATGACGTCTAATAGTGCAGAATCAATCAACGCTCTAAGTCGTCATTCCCGGAAATTACCCATTACTATGTTAATGGAGTTTTTTCGAGCCTCTATTCAACAGTGGTACTACAAGAAAAGAAACCATGCAGGTATTATTTCTTTAAATTCGTAACTTATCATATATTTTACTAAGTATTATTTATTTAAATTTACAGGAACATTGGA